GTTGCGGCCTTCAGCTCATCTGCATTGTTGGGTCTGGTGTCTCTCATCTTCCTCTTGACAATACCCCACAGACTCTCTATGGGGTTTAGGTCAGGCGAATTTGCTGGCCAATCAAGCACAGTGATGCCACGATCATTAAACCAGGTATTGGTACTTTTGGCAGTGTGGGCAGGTGCCATGTCCAGATGGAAAATGAAATCCGCATCCCCATCATGCTGGTCAGCAGATGGAACCATGAAGTGCTCTAGAATTTCCTGGTAGAGGGTTGTGCTGACTTTGGACTACATAAAGCACAATGGACCAACACCAGCAGATGACATGGCTCCCCAAATCATCACTAACTGTGGAAACTTCACACTGGACCTCACGCTACTTGGATTCCATGCCTCACCACTCCTCTTCCAGACTCTGGGACCTTGATTTCCACATGAAATGAAAAATTTACTTCCATCTGAAAAGAGGAATTTGGACCACCAAGTCCTTTTGCACCTTTTTCTACCACGCTTTTTCCTTCCACTCAACTTCCCATTAATGTGCTTGGATACAGCACTCTGTGAACAGCCAGCTTCTTTAGCAATGACCTTTTGTGACTTACCCTCCTTCTGGAGGGTGTCAATGACTGTCTTCTGGACAACTGTCAAGTCAGCAGTCTTCCTCGTGATTGTGTATCCTACTGAACCAGACTGAGAGACCATTTAAAGACTCAGGAAACCTTTACAGATGTGTAACGGAACTGGACCCAGAGTGCACTCGGGTATTTCCGTTAGATTCCCGCTTCCCTGTCCGAACACAGATCCACGGACACCGCCGCTGACCATACAGGAAATAGGCAGCACCAGGCTTCTTAACACAGGAAGTGAACTGCTTTATTTTAACACAAACACAAGATATATACACAGGGCGGGGAAATACAACCAGGAACAGGAAACGCATCAGCAGGCCGTCCCATCAGGGGGAAGGGCTGCTGGAAACACCCCCCCACCAAACCAAGATACACAATAGAACAATGGGATGCACCACCTGGCAGTAGACAATACAGGAACACATACATCCCATAATAGTTTGCTTGCAAGTAAGACACAATAGAACAATGGGATGCAGCACATGGCAGTGAACAATGAACAACCCCCCACACCCCACCTATACATGTCCACACAATACTAGGACAGATCACCCTGCACCCCTAACAGGCACAGGGTGACTTACACATAATGGGAACATGGGGAGCTGATACAGGAGTCCCCCCACCCCCAAAAGTCACTCCCGTCACAAGGTGTTTGGAGTTAATTAGCTGATTAGAGTGTGACACCGTGCGTCTACAACTTTTTTTGTCACAATATTCTCATTTTCTCAGATACTTTTTGAGTTGAATTACTGAAATAATAATAAAAATAATACAGCGCAAATAATCAAAACTGTGACAAATTATATGTGAAAGTCCCCCAAAAAAGTCCAAAAAAAGTCCCAAGTTGAAGTCCAATGTCCCAAAAAATGTGAAAAATTATTATTTACTGAAACTTTATAAATTTTCCAGCTTGCTCACATTTTCTGTGAAAAGCATTTTATAGATCCAGAAGATCTGAGCAAGTTGGAAAATGTATAAAGTTTGAGTAAATAATAATTTTTTCACATTTTTTGGGACATTGGACTTTAATCTGGGACTTTTTTTGGACATTCCCATATAATTTGTCAGTTTTGATTATTTGTATTATTTGCGCTGTATTATTTTAATTATTATTTTTTGATGTTTAGTCAATTCTTGAACAGCTGCATTTAATTTTTCACCTAATTTTTCACTCATTTCCTTGGTTGATGATAGATATTTTGTATGAATTACTGAAATAAATTACATTTTTTGATGATATTCTGACTCATTGAGATGCACCTGTGTGTTCTTGTCATGTTTTTTTTTATTTTTTTAAGCTGACAAGCCTTTTCTTTATCCCTTGTTCTGCCCTTTTCTGTACCTGTTGATGAACACTTCAGTATTCTCGGATTCATTTCCAATGTTTAGATACGTATAACCCTTATCTGAAATGTCTTGTTGATATTGTCCTATCAATGAAAAACATTGAACCAGAAAGATTCCCAATTGGGGACCTGTGAGATGAGTGACAACCCTTTAAGTAGCATACATGGTATGACCCATGTCTAGGTCCATTTCCTATATGCTGCAACCCTCTAATAACATACAAGACATGGACCTCTAGGATAAGCTGCAGACCCCGTACATTCACTGGGGCAGGATTGTGGGGATGAGACCCTTGTCCCTGACAACAAGGGGGCCAGGTGCCTTGTCACCGGCCTTCACTGACCCCCTTTCCTGGCAAGGTACCCTTCCAATGTCAAGGGCATGTGGCCTGGTATGGTTTAGGAGGGAAGCAGAGGACATGATCACACCCCCTTTCCTGGCCAGCCAAGATACTTGTCTGGACAAAGGGTCCAGTATGGAATTTTAGGGGGATTCCACACTTTTTTTTTTTTATTTGTGTAAAGGGTCCGCTTTAAAAACCCATACCAGTCCCCTGTCTATGAGAAGGATCTGTTATAGATTTTGAGGGGAACCCCATATTTGTTTTCTTCTAAAAGGATCTTCTGTGGGGCACGTGGACTGGTATGTTTGTTTTTATTTTGGGGGGAGGGGGGGGGGCCCTTTTCCTTTCCTCACCTTCCAGGCTAGGACTGGTGAGACACAAGACATGGTCCTCTGGAACTGATTACATTTTAGACATGACCCTATACAACTGATCTCCAAGGCCTTCGGGAATACAAGAAATCTACATCTTGGACTGGTAAGAGGGAAGGCATCTCTGATTGGTGTTATAGTATGTAGGTATGTAATATGTTACGCGTCCTGTGAGACTAGTTACATACAACATACATTGTCCAGGTAGATGACCCTCAACTGCTGAGAACCTAAAACACTAAAGCTTCTATGATGAAAGCCTTAATCCTCTAAAACTGGTTAGATCTAAGGTACAAACGTATAGGTCTGGTAATATCAAAGCCATGGACCTCTAAGACTGGTGAGGAATAACATGGATTTCACGGACTGGTGAAATACAAGACACAGGCCTCTAGGACTGTTGTGATACAACATATGTTCATCTAAGACTGGTGAGAACAAATGCACAGCTTTGTGGACTATAGGGACTGATGGAAGCTAAAACATGGTCATCTAGGTGGAGCTGGTTACAAGATTTGGTCCACCAAAGCTGAGTAGATATGAGATATGTTCCCGTCCCTTTAGAACTGATGAATAATGACAAGTAAGGGGCCCAGGCAAACCTACTGGACAGCCAAAGTACAGTTCTGGATATGATGACCAAGCTCATTAGACAACTCCTTGTGACAATTTTTTTTTATTATAGTTGCAGGTCTCCAGTCCCTCTGGGGAGCTCCTCGGCTACATAGTCAAAGAGTGGACAAGTTTTACCTTGAGCTTCGACATCTTGGATCCATCGGGACTTGTTTGTTTTAAAGTGAAAGGTCCAGGATGGGGGGAAGGCTTTATGTCTGACCTCAATTATAAGGTCAGTCTATCATCACGTGTCAAATGCTTTTATGCTATTGTAATAACTGTAGAAATAGTTATTGGGTTGCCCTAGTCCGGTGGCTGAGGGGAACATCTGCCATGCCCTCTGCCCTCTGCGGGCTTCTTTTCTAACCTGACTCTGATGTAAAAAATTAACAAAAATGCTCTTTTAATGCTTTTTTGTGTTTTTACAGTCTTATTTTTTTAGGAGCATTATTAGCCCCAGCAGGGAAGTCAAGAACTGGTGAATTGTTTTCGAAATGTTCTAGCTCAAGGTGGCAACAAACCATCACTAGTGAGCCTGAGCAGTGCTGCAAGAATGCTTCCAGGGGTGGTGACCAAGGAAACAATTACAGAGAAGCGATATGGCTGCACTGTGGCATACGGAGGAGTGCTTTAAATTGTGCATTACCATTGGCTTTGTGAGCCCAAAAACAGTGAACTGGGAGGAGAACCTGGTCATGCCAAAGTCACAAGACCGGCTTTGATGAGGTGCCCAATCAAAAATCACCACCTCCTCCTTATTCATGGGTAGGTGAGAGGAGATGACGATTATTGATCAGGCACCTGCTGAATTCATTTTTGGAGGCGTTCTATAGATGACGTCCTATTTTTGTGGAAGGGGGATTATGATTGTTTAAATCCATTTATGGAGGGACTTAACCAAAATTTGGATTTAACTGCAGTATTTCTGGATGTAATGATCATTTCATTACCCGTACTTCTTTTTTTTTCAAAACAACCAATCGAAATGGGTATATCCCTTAAAGTGTTAATAAACCCTGGACCCTGCATTCACTATATCCGCTCTCTCCGGACCCCGCATTCCCTGTATCTGCTCTTCCTGGACCCCGCATTCACTATATCCGCTCTCCCCGGACCCCGCATTCACTATATCCTCTCTCCCCGAACCCCGCATTCACTATATCCGCTCTCCCCGGACCCCACATTCACTATATCCGCTCTCCCCGGACCCCACATTCCCTATATCCGCTCTCCCCCCGGACCCCGCGTTCACTACATCCGCTCTCCCCGGACCCCGCATTCACTATATCCGCTCTCCCCGGACCCCGCATTCACTATATCCGCTCTCCCCGGACCCCGCATTCACTATATCCGCTCTCCCCGGACGCAGCATTCACTATATCCGCTCTCCCCGGACCCCACATTCCCTATATCCTCTCTCCCCGGACCCCGCATTCACTATATCCGCTCTCTCCGGACCCTGCATTCACTATATCCGCTCTCCCCGGACCCCGCATTCACTATATCCGCTCTCTCCGGACCCTGTATTCACTATATCCGCTCTCTCCGGACCCCGCATTCCCTGTATCTGCTCTTCCTGGACCCCGCATTCACTATATCCGCTCTCCCCGGACCCCGCATTCACTATATCCGCTCTCCCCGGACCCCGCATTCACTATATCCGCTCTCCCCGGACCCCGCATTCACTATATCCGCTCTCCCCGGACCCCGCATTCACTATATCCGCTCTCCCCGGACCCCGCATTCACTATATCCGCTCTCCCCGGACCCCGCATTCACTATATCCGCTCTCCCCGGACCCCGCATTCACTATATCCGCTCTCCCCGGACCCCACATTCCCTATATCCGCTCTCCCCGGACCCCGCAATTACTATATCCGCTCTCTCCGGACCCCGCATTCACTATATCCGCTCTCTCCGGACCCCGCATTCCCTGTAACCGCTCTCCCCCGGACCCCGCATTCACTATACCCGCTCTCTCCGGACCCCGCATTCTCTATATCCGTTCTCCCCGGACCCCGCATTCACTATATCCGCTCTCTCCGGACCCCGCATTCACTATATCCGCTCTCCCCGGACCCCGCATTCACTATATCCGCTCTCCCCAGACCCCGCATTCACTATATCCGCTCTCCCCGGACCCCGCATTCACTATATCCGCTCTCCCCGGACCCCGCATTCACTATATCCGCTCCCCCCGGACCCCGCATTCACTATCTCCGCTCTCCCCGGACCCCGCATTCACTATATCCGCTCTCCCCGGACCCCGCATTCACTATATCCGCTCTCCCCGGACCCCGCATTCACTATATCCGCTCTCCCCGGACCCCGCATTCACTATATCCGCTCTCCCCGGACCCCGCATTCACTATCTCCGCTCTGTCTGGACCCCGCATTCACTATACCCACTCTCTCCGGACCCCGCATTCCCTGTATCCGCTCTCCCCGGACCCCGCATTCACTATATTCGCTCTCCCCGGACCCCGCATTCACTATATCCGCTCTCCCCGGACCCCGCATTCACTATATCCGCTCTCCCCGGACCCCGCATTCACTATATCCTCTCTCTCCGGACCCCGCATTCATTATATCCGCTCTCTCTGGACCCCCGCATTCACTATGGCCCTGTACTGATCACATGCACTTTCCCAAAAAAAAACCCTCTCTAGCAATACACACCAAACTGAGCATGTGCATGTGACTACAGATTCAGTCTGTATCAGGTGGTCATTTCAACAAGAGTAAGGGCAGAGAAGACAGGATCAGCCTTTTTACACAATGTGGAGGATTAACCCCTTAGGTTCCACAGTGAGTATAACAAGAATACTTTACTGCATCTACAGACTGATTTCACTGTTGGGGGTTTAGTAACACTTTAGGGGAATTCCCACCATCCCTCCTGGCCTAGAGCCATTCCTCAGACTATTCTTTAGAATTATACGTAACTGTTCCAACCTTGAGGACTCTCAGTCCCAATCCTTGATTCTCAAACAGCGATTTCTTGAGCAGGAGCTGGATTGGGTGATTAGTGAGGTGAAACATCTTGAACATGCTTATCAAAAGTCCCCCACGTGTCTCTGCTGTTAATAATGATCACCAGGTTTCTTTTGTTACCACCTTTTCTAGGCATCATGCCCTAGCCAGCTGACTACTTTCAAAACATTGGAGAATATTTAAAAACGATAGCGTCCTGGGACCTGTTTTACCTGACCATCCCAAGGTCATTTTTCATAAATACAAGACTCTAACGTATTTTGTGGACCCAAAATGTAGTAGATCCACCTTCCAAAGTTATGCTGTTTGGTGCTTTGAAAAGTTTTTTTTTCCCTGTCATAGGTGTAAAATGTGTCATACCATTGGAGGGAATACTGTGAGGACTAGATCCTTCACTTCTCAGTGTACATCAAAATCCTGTGAAATAGATTGTTTTGTTTCTTGTTCCACCAGATGTGTTGTCTATCTCCTGCAGTGCCCGTGTGGCATCCAGTATGTTGGACAGACCAAGCAGGCACTGCAGACGAGAGTTAATGAATATATAGCAAATATTTGTAAAGGTTCTAAGGAACAGTCTATACAAACATTGCCATTTGTATAATAACAGGGATACGTCATCTTTGAAATTTATTGGCATTGACCTTTTCTATACACATTGAAGGGGTAGTCATTTGGTGAGGGGGATCTCTAGGTTTGAAACTAAATGGATCTTTCAATTAAAACCCTATAGTTCCTATGGTCTAAATATTGAATTGACCTAAATAGTTTTGTAAATAATAGTGGATCTCTGTTATGTTTTTTTTTTTTTTTTAATGTTTTGCTGTGTTTTTTAGTTTTCGTTATGCCTAATTTTTTTAGACCTTCTCTTCACTGCTACAATCAGCTCTTATTTTGTTTTTTAAATTTGAATCTTAGTTTTAATTTTCTTTGTTATTTTTAATTGTCATGTTGATTTTTTAGCACAAGATGGTGTATATACCTAAATGAACTGAGTGTTATACCGCCTCCAGGCTCTAGATGGCGAATATAAAGCTTTTATGACAAGTCATATTTCCATTCAAGTCGTTTGAATTGTCCGCATTGGCCTTCTTGTGTTTGGTCTTCTATGGATGCCATTTTTTCTATTTCCTTCTCCCTTCTTTTACTATGGAGAACTGTTTTGTCCACATTGGTTGTCTAATGTTTGGTCTTGGACTAGAGCCATTTTTGGGGTAGGTCTAGTTAAAATAATGAGATCAGCCTTACAGTAGCAGCACCAGAGTCTATATAAACTTTACTAGGAGCTCCTGTTCCCCTGATGATGCTGTTGGGCTTAGCCTGTGATTACTGGTTGGGCGCGGTGAGGCACACTATATGCGGCCTCTGTTCCCCTCTGTAAGTATGGATGTTGTATGGTCCATTCTAGGAGCCTGAGGCTGGTGGAACCCTTTCACCATGAATGGATGCCTGGATGGTCATTGATGAACATGCATAATTGATCTCTGGTATGGGGATCCAGTTCATTTGCTAAGAGGCCACCGTTGTCTGTGGTGGAGAGCACAAAGGGTTTGGTCGGCTTTTCAAGATACCTTCACTGGATTGGTGGATGGCTGATTGTTTCACTGACTCTTTGAAATGTATTTTTTGAACTCTTTGTTGTTTCATGAACTGTGCTGAAGAATATCACGTCACAAAAACCTGAATGTCTTTTCACATAACCTGTTTCTTTAGATTTTATTTGGGTTGATGTGCACATTATGTGTGTTGGGATTTAAAAAACATCTTTGCCACTTCTGGGTTCTGGGAGACTATTTAACTTCACTCAGCCGTTCTGTCAGTGCCTTAACATTTTATCCAAGTTCCTGACCTGTCCCACCACCCACTGTGGCCTCTTGCTACCTGTTACCCCATCTATTGTGTCCCAGTCCAACCCAGTCCATCCCTGTTCCTCCTCTGGCTCTACTTCTGATTGAGTTCAGGTGTTCCCGGCAAAAGGTTACTCTTAATATTACATCATTCAAAGACATTGTAGACAATTGTGCTCTTCCAAAATAGTTTGGTGAAGATCCTTTTCTATTCCAGCATGACTGTCCCCTGTGTACAAATCCAGCTCCATAAAGTCATCGATGACCAGTTTGATGTGGAGGAACTCGAGTGTCCTGCACAGAACCCCGACTTCAACCCTACTGAACACATTTGGGAAAGGTTGGCACATCGATGGTGAACCAGTTTTTTTTTTTTTTTTTTTTTAAAGGTGCCCAATGTGAGGCCCAAGAGGTCTTCCCATTCAACATCAGAAACTGACCTCACGGGTAGGCACAAATTCCCTCAGACACCCTCCAAAATCATGTGGAAAGTCTCCCCAGAGGAGCAGACAATGTTATAACCAAAAAGGGGGACAACTCCATGTTAGTGGCCATGGGTTTGGAATGCGAAATAGTAAAGATTTTTTTTTGAACTGCCAGAATGTACTTTGGAGTCCTCTGTGTGGTTCATCGTCCTGGTCACCTCTAATTCTGCAGGATTCTAACATTTGATATCCAGCGATAATCAGTAAGTAATTGCAGAGTCACCTCCCCCCACTGAAGATATTGCTCTACACAGGATACGTGTAAATTGCATAGTTAAGAAAATGTTAGGAAATTCAAAAATTAGTGTTGTCACCAGAACAGGAAAAGAGGGAAAATCTTCCGAAATTAAACATTTTAACTTTAGTTGTACGTTACCCTTCAGCTCGGACCTTCTTCTCCATCATACAATGTCTTTGGTGGTCTGTGAAGGGAAGTAGAAAGAAGTATGGAATTTGGGCAGTCAGTCTCATGAAGACTCCTCGTAGAGTCAACTTAGAGGACAGAGATTTCCAGAAATCAGATGCAGGCAGTTATAGGAGGAAGTCTACAAAGCCGAACGTGTTTCCCCAGCTGGGATGATTGTGAAGTATGGGAACCCTTTATAGAACTGGTCTGATCTTCCAGTATAAATAGATTCAGTAATATTCAGAGAATTCACCGGGAATAGGAAACGTTAATATTTCAGCCTTTATAATGTAAAAGTGTGATGTCCTCTCCTCATGATTGATGATCTCCATGTGGACTCTCCAGTGGTCATTGTGATCCCCTCTCTTCTCTCTGCAGGTTCTATCTGCTGACAAAACAACACAAATCGGGGTCATCACACGTGTGTGGCGGGGATTCAGCACAGAGATGTTCAGCTCTAAAGACAACTATACAATCAATTTCCCCACGGACCTCCATGTCTCCATGAAAGCCATGATAATGGCCTCCACCCTCTTCATTGTGAGTCTGAGAACACTGCAACGTGTGAGGATGGAGGGAACGCTGCAATGTGTGAGGGTGGAGGGAACACTGCAATGTGTGAGGGTGGGGGGAACACTGCAATGTGTGAGGATGGAGGGAACGCTGCAATGTGTGAGGATGGAGGGAACACTGCAATGTGTGAGGATGGAGGGAACGCTGCAATGTGTGAGGATGGAGGGAACACTGCAATGTGTGAGGATGGAGGGAACACTGCAATGTGTGAGGATGGAGGGAACACTGCAATGTGTGAGGATGGAGGGAACACTGCAATGTGTGAGGATGGAGGGAACACTGCAATGTGTGAGGATGGAGGGAACGCTGCAATGTGTGAGGATGGAGGGAACACTGCAATGTGTGAGGATGGAGGGAACGCTGCAATGTGTGAGGATGGAGGGAACACTGCAATGTGTGAGGATGGAGGGAACGCTGCAATGTGTGAGGATGGAGGGAACGCTGCAATGTGTGAGGATGGAGGGAACACTGCAATGTGTGAGGATGGAGGGAACACTGCAACGTGTGAGGATGGAGGGAACACTGCAACATGTGAGGGTGGAGAGAACACTGCAATGTGTGAGGATGGAGGGAACACTGCAATGTGTGAGGATGGAGGGAACGCTGCAATGTGTGAGGATGGAGGGAACGCTGCAATGTGTGAGGGTGGAGAGAACACTGCAATGTGTGAGGATGGAGGGAACACTGCAACGTGTGAGGATGGAGGGAACACTGCAACATGTGAGGGTGGAGAGAACACTGCAATGTGTGAGGATGGAGGGAACACTGCAATGTGTGAGGATGGAGGGAACACTGCAATGTGTGAGGATGGAGGGAACGCTGCAATGTGTGAGGATGGAGGGAACACTGCAATGTGTGAGGATGGAGGGAACACTGCAATGTGTGAGGGTGGGGGGAACGCTGCAATGTGTGAGGATGGAGGGAACGCTGCAATGTGTGAGGGTGGAGGGAACGCTGCAATGTGTGAGGATGGAGAGAACGCTGCAATGTGTGAGGATGGAGGGAACACTGCAATGTGTGAGGATGGAGGGAACACTGCAATGTGTGAGGGTGGGGGGAACGCTGCAATGTGTGAGGATGGAGGGAACGCTGCAATGTGTGAGGGTGGAGGGAACGCTGCAATGTGTGAGGATGGAGAGAACGCTGCAATGTGTGAGGGTGGAGGGAACACTGCAATGTGTGAGGATGGAGGGAACGCTGCAATGTGTGAGGGTGGAGGGGGACGCCGCAGTGTGTGTGAGGGTGAAGGGGGGACGCCGCAGTGTGTGTGAGGGTGGAGGGGGACGCCGCCACGTGTGTGAGGGTGGAGGGGACGCCGC